TGTGTGTGTGTGTGTGTGTGTGTGTGTGTGTGTGTGTGTGTGTGTGTGTGTGTGTGTGTGTGTGTGAGAGAGACCGCCTGCTGACCAAAGGGTCATAAAAGCAGGAGCAACAGCACAAGAAACAAATCTTCCAGACAGGATGTATCTGCAATAAGAGACTACAGCCCCCCACCCAGAACCTCGAGAATCTGGGAAGGGGGACAGTGGAATTCCTTTCATCAGAGTTGGCAAGCATAAAAAATGACAACATTTAACAATTCACTCTAACACCAACACTTTATTGACGATGTCTAAAGAGACTAGAAAAAAACAAAACTGAGACTAGCTCTCCTGGTTGCGTGTAGCCATCTGTGGGCTGATAAGGGAGGAAGTGTGAGCTTGAGCTGCCTTTGGTTTTGTTAACGTTAGCCAGAGCTCTCAGGATGTGCTCCTAGATGCACAGGTTAAATTAACTGGTGCATCCTAAGAACACCCAATGATTTCTATTAAGAAATTCCTTCTGAGCTTTTGTTTCAGTTGTCAAAAAGTTGATTTTACTTACTCTTTACCACTGAGGTCAAAGTGGACGATAAAGGTGTTTCTAGAATATTGCTTTCTTGTTGCTGGGCTGGCATTCTGCCTCAGTCCATTTATAGTCTGTCTTTAGAGTTTATCAGGACTAAAAGTGTCTGATAAAGGTGTGAAGACTCCTGTAATGTGTTTACTGTTACAGAGGAAATACACGACCAAGACAAAAAGCTATTTTAAAAATCAGAACATACTCCATCAATACAGCAACATAATACGCTCATACTCTACTATAACTGACTAAAGTTCATTATGACCATTTTTCATTTCATTTATTTCATACTGAGAGCACTTAGTCTTTTATTTTATCAGTGCCTCAGGGTACAGTCAGCCTGCACCCTCATGGGCCTCGAGTCAAAACATCAGACTGGAAGAGCCCAATACATTTCTTTCAGTTTCTCAGTCGTCTATCCTGTCAGGTAACTGAGCAGAACGAAAAGCAACTGCTTTGCTATGAAACAGTGGTTTAGTGCAATGGCATATTTAGCTCTTTGCAAGAATGAATGATTGCATGCTGACAACAGCAGAAAGGATACCAGGACACCGAAGCATAAACTTCTATTTTCTGAGGTTTCACATTCACATTTCATTATGAAAAATAGGCCATGTAATAAAAGTCAGGAGGAAGGAAAAAAACTGTATAGGGAAGTTCCACAGAATCGCTTCTGTAAAAGTGCCCGATGCAAATATTCCTCCAGGGCCAAACAGCAGGCCCAGTGTGAACTCATAAAGCAGGCGGAGCTAATCCAGCATCTATTAAAGGATTGAGACCGACACTTCAGATTTAGAGACATGCATCTTCTGGGAGAAAAGCCAGCCAAGCATGTCGGTGAGTTCTCTTCTCAACCACTTAGACTACAAAACAAATGATAAGATACCTTTTTAAAAATGTGAGAAATTACCCGTCTCAGTACAAAGACAGATGATCCAGGCAGTCCACTGACCAACTGTAGGGGATCAATGGATCACACAGTTCCTATATTGTGAACAAAAGTGTCGATTCTGATCATTTTTGAAATGTCACACATTCAGTCACCTGAAATTGAGGTGACGCAGTGCACTTGTGATGTCATTAAGGCCTTTTTTTTTTACGAGCTGGCTTCTGCTAGCCATGACCTACATCTTTACGATCCATGCAACTTCCCATTAAATGACAACATGAGACAGCAAAGCCCATTTTCTACTAGTACCTACTCAACTACTGTCATTTTCTAGTACCACCTAATGAGTTTGGGGTCACACAGCAACATGACTGAAATTCCTGTGAAATCATTTGCATGTAACACAAACAAAGCAATAATGGAGCACACCAAGGCGATGGTACACCTGCTGCTCAGTCTATGGCTTTGTGTCAGACCACAGTGTTGGTTGTTGTCCAGCCGTTTCCCTCATTGCCAGGTTTCAAAAATGGCGGTTTGATTTTTGTGAAGGAGTCACTCTCATGATGCCATTGACTGGCCAGTCGGTTGACCCCGGCCGTGCAGGTAGTTGAAAGACAAAAAAAAGCAACTGCTACCCAATGCAAAAGTCGAGCCATGTAGGTACTAGTAGGAACAGCAATTTCAATAAGGCGGCCTCTGTTACATAAACATATGAAGGAGCTCAAGTTCTATAACTTTCACACCGTCCTGCTAACATTTCTCCACTGTTACCTTCATCAATTCAGTGAAAGAAATGAGCCTTCTGTTCTGACAATATCTGGAACTCGCACAAAATGATTGTGTGCAGCTGTCGTCTGTGAGCAGAATTAACGTTGCTTAGTTTTCACTAAGCTGCTTCCACTCTAGGTCTCCTCTTACTGCCTCACCCACAGTGAGCCTGCACCTGCTCAGCTGTGATGAGTGTGATGATTGTTTATGGGGCTTTACGTCATGGATACATGAACCTGACTGGACAGGAAATGACAATACACAATATGCACATCACTGCATGGTCAGCCAGTCAGACTGCACATCCAGTGTCTATATCTATCTATATTTTTTTTCATCTATATGGACTTTCAGACTAGCATGAAAGTTAAAGGTTTCTAATTATGACATTTTAAATATATCATTTGAGACAGCAGTCTAAAAAAGTCCAATATTCTTATGTATTTCAGTAAAGCATGAACACTGGACACAGACCTCCCCTCTAAAACCTCTTACAGGGATTGTAAGGCTTACTGCAGCACAAGAGACACTTCACTGACAAGTCCTCTGAAAAGTCTTTGGTTGTTCCCCTGTAATGGTGCATTCATGTGGTGCTAAAATTACAGGGAAAAATCTGCTTCACATCTCCAAAAACTGGCATGAATTCCTACTTAAGTCCAAAAAAATAAAAAATAAAAAACCATCTTGGAAAGATTGTTGGAGTTTTGGTACAGGAGCTCCCGAGCTGTCACACACAAAGAGACGACAGATGTTTTATTAATGGTGCTAATGTGTGTATCAAATGACATTTTTATAACAATTAAGTGGTTATATTTCATTAGGCTTTTTCCATTATTTACTAATATTTAATATTTCCACATAGTGACCTGAATTTGTTTTACGAGTTTGTTTTTGTAACGCTTTCTAAGTCAAAGACAAACCAAGTGCTTTTTACATTTAAACTTAAATCACGTGAACCCAGCAAAGAGGGCAGAAGACTTCACCATACAGGAAATCCAAGCATCGGAGGAGCACATGAGTGCAGGGTCTCCAGCAGAGACGAGCCTGCTGGAGAGGATTGGTAAAGCGCCCTTCTTTCCAACCAAACCCCCAGATGTCGTTCTTTCAAAGCTGGTAGACTTCAGACCTGGCCCATTAGTAATGTAAGTGACATCACTTGTGGAAATTTACTAGACTACACACAGCTCCGGAAAGGTCTGCGTTACCCACACAGCAATACTGCCCAACAGTTTGAAACAGACTGTGTGTAAAATCAATGACATAAGTTATTTACGGCAAACCTCGTTAGTTTGTATAACTTGTGTTCTCTGAAAATCATTTTTAGAAGAAAGCTCTACGGTCTGATATTATACACTGAAACCTGGGCGCAGAGTTGTGCTTCTCTTGAACTTGAGCATGTGAAGCAGAAGGCGAGTCCAGCGCGGCCGTTTCTTTTCAGCGGGACATCCCATTCAACAGAAAAGCCGCGGAGGAGCGGAGCGGCTCTGCTGCTGCCTCCACACGGGAGGGAAGGAGGCGGCGGGACCCGGCTATTGTTCCAGCGAGAACAAAGATAAACGCATAAGTAATGAGGGCCCGGTTTCGTCTTGGCACCTTAAACATTACGAACTTATACCAGCACACAGAGTGCAAGTTTTACAAGGGAACGTGCTGATGGCTAAAATAAAGAGCAGCGATGACGGCGAGTCGTCCCAAGGATTACAACACATCGGAGCGGGTCAGGAGTGATGCCCTCTGCTCTGGGCTCCAAAACAATCGGGAAGGCTAGTCCACGAGCTAAACACTCGAACCCGTCCATCGGGTGTCTCTAGACAACACAAAGTCTATTCGTTTACATATTAATATATTGAACATATTTGTGAGACAAAATACACGTTGGTGAGATAGGAGGGGGAAAACAGGGAGAAAACACAAAAAGCAAATGTGCGGGACGTTGGCGCATCACCGCTGAGGCCAGGCTAGTGGCATTGTTTAACTAGCATTAAAGTACACATTACTTAGCTACCCTGCTTACTGATGCGCTTAAGCTACGTTGTATGTGTTACGTTATACGTTTCCCGTGGTCTTCAAAGCACTGAACTCGTGCGAATGGCGAGCTTAAAGTTAGCAACATTAAAACACCTACGGGACGGTGATAAAACGGGGTTTTAAGAGCTTCCTCGTGACAAGCAGGAGGTGGCGACGTGGTCTCTCAAGATGCGTTAGCTTCTCGGCTACTAACGCTGGCAGTTTAGCCTGTAAGCATTAACGCTGCAATAGCATTAGCGGCGCGGCAGTTGAGTCAGGCCGACCATCTGCGGCAACTGCGGAAAAGGGTCAACTCACCATTGGAGAGATTGAGGAGGGCAGCATCTTGTGATGTCTTCACTTCTAACCGCAGCGGCTGCTGCTCTGAGTGCCGCTGTATATCTCCATTCGCGTCTCCAATGGAGAGAAGCCGCACGCCACGGAATACCGAGACCGCCATCTTCGCTCTGGAAGTAGAGACAGATCTGTGGCGCTCACATCCAACCAAGCACTGCTCTCTGCTGGAGGCACATTGGGCACCAACGCGATAAGCCTTTGCAACAGTGCCACCTGGCGGCTAGAAATGGGCATTGCGTAAACATGTGAAATCAAATTTTATCATGGAGATTAAAATATATCTATTATTGACGATTTAAAAAAAAACAAACCTTAAAAACCAAACGAAAACTGTACTTCTGCCCGACACCCACAGCTGGCTATTTGTTTTTAGGGTCTCTTTATCGCCATGTTACACAAGAGCAAACACGGTATCTCACCCCCTCCCCCTAACCCCCATCGTCACCACCTGCACCCCCCTCTCACTCACACACAGACACACGCCGTAATAGTAAAAACAAAACCTTTGATCAGCACCATAGAGATTAACCACAGACAGTAACACATTTTTCTAGCTCAGGTTATAAACTTACCAGCTTCTTCAACTAGACTAGTACAAGCTCAACACAGATTCAGCCCTACTAATATAACATAAAGACGACTGTAATGTCTGTGAGCAGGCAACAGAGAGAAGCCCATTACCTGCAGGTGCTCTCCGACTGTATGGGGTCAGCGCACCACAAAACCACTGAGACTATCATTTCTAGTGGACCAGCTTCTAGATGTATTTGTGTGAGTGCATATTTTCAACATATAAGAGAAGATAAGATAGAACTTTATTAATCCCTTGGGTGGATTCCTCTGGGAAATTCGGTAATATGAGTGGGCACAGTGTTTCATAATTAAATAACCCATCAGAACTTTATTTTTTAGGCTTTGCTCGAGACCAAAGTCCTGGCCTTGTGCTTTATTTGAACATCACTTTTTTGCTTTGGCTTTCTAAACATGATGAACTCCCTGAAAAACAAATTGTTGCATTGTTGAGTTTAACCAATTCATGGGTATTTTCCAAAAATGACCAAGAGCAGGGGCAGGAATTACAAGTAATATACGTATTTCCCAGCATGCATCAGCACTGCAACATCAACACTTCTCAGAAAAGGCACTTATTTTTAATCAATGGAGCATGAACTGATTGCTCGAACATCCGAAATGCAGATTCTCAAGAAGAGCCTGCAACAAGAAAAATAAAGTTAGACTTTGGTTCAGAAGATAGAAGTGCAACTTAAACATACAGCGGAACTCTAATCCAATAATCCAGGTAAGTAAAACCCAGAGAGTTGATTCAGCTCATCTGGACACGTTTTCAGTGAGAGAAACGTGTCATCACTCATCTGAGTTTCAGCTTACTGCAGGTTTCCCCAGCCTTCTAAACACTGCTGATGTACAGTGAGTGACACAGGCATCGCAGGCTAACATGGAGCCACAGGCTCAGTTTTAGGCCTGTTAACGTCATGACCACCGATCAATGGCGACGAGTACTATTCATGATAGTGATTCATTAACTCTTGCGTCCGCTTCCCCATTTCCATGATAGCCATTAGCTTTTCACATCCTAAACACTGACCACTACATTATTAATAATGTATAAACATAGTACATCTTCATTTTTTGAAGATATCTTTTGTACATTTTGTATTACATTTTTAAAAAACGGAGAAAGCAAACGGAAAGGAAACAAAGTACATACAGATTGTTAGGGTAATAATTTAATGTGATACATGCATAGTAGCAATTAAATGACAGTGCAAGCAAGAGTAGGTGTAAAAAGCACAAGGGCCCATATCTGGCACATTTCATTACATTGTAAATAAAGTCACCATAAAATATTTGCTGTTCTTTATGTTATGATATGAATTCAAATACATTTTAGAGAGAGCTTTCTGACACAAACTGATGGCTGGTCATTTGTGTAGTACGCTCCGTGTCCAATGAGCTTCATTTATGCTCAGTTAGTTCCTTCATATCTGAATTAACTCGTGGTCATTTTCAGTGGTTAAAATAGATGATTACAGACAGTCAGCTTCTGACTGATGATGGGAATACATGCGTTAAACTCAGTTGTTCAGAAATTGAGTTATATTGAATGTTTTCATCTAGTGCTGGAAAGAATTGACAAAAAATGAATATATAAATAAAGAAATAAAGATTAAAACGATTGTTTTACACCTGTTCTGGACATAGATTAAAGATAAATGGAGCCAGTGTGATGTTGCTCAGTGGGTTTGTTTGAAGTTATATTTGGATGTTATTTACCAACACTAGCAGTTAGCTGCTCGTAGTGTTAAGTAACATAAAAAATATTTGAATAGTCCGAGTAAACACATTTATTTCTGTTTTAAATCAAACTAAATGACATTTGGAGCCAAGTGGTCATTAGAGGAACTTCTGTTTCTTGATTTTTAAAGTTTAGACTCTAAACTCTAGAGTCTAGAGGTTGCTGCTTGATCCTGGGAAACATCTATAAATGGGAATAAACTGCTTAGGTTTGTATTTTAAGGTGTAATTTTCATGGGAATTTTTCTAGTCATGTTGTTTTCAGCTGTGTGAGTTTTCATCCGGTTTAATTCAGTTGTATTTTATTTATATAGTGCCAAATACAATTGCACATCCACTGATAATGACTGTTAAAAATGTTATTCCACAGGTCTTCAAAACAGAAATGCAGAATGCAGAAACACACAAATAATTAAAATAAGATTGGCTAAATGTTTCACCTGAAATCATTATCATTTAATCAACTCCTTCACTGACTAGGTCTTCGTTATCTTCAACAGTGGCGGCGCACATGACAGAAATCCACGTTAGAACAATGAGGAGACTGCCTGAATGCACTCTACAGATCTACAAAGAGAACAAGTAGATTTAGCTCAGAGGGATACATCTTGTGCTCTAATAAATAACAAGCTTATTGTTTAGCATTTCCAAAATTAAAAGAGCACAAATATATAAACTCATACCTCAGAGGAGGACACATGACTTGGGAGGCCGGAAAGGATTGTCACTGGAGGGCACCCCGGTGAGGAGAGGGTCTTTGTGGGCATTTTGCAAACAGAAGTTTTTCAGTTCTGCAGCAGCCTGAGAAACCTGAAAGCAAGTGTTAGTGTTAACTAATAAGTACTATAAGTAAAAGAAGAGTCCTACAATAACTCCTCAGAAATATTCACAGTATGTGATGTGGAGTTTTGGTTGTTTTTGTTTTGTTGGCATATCCCAAATAGCACAGTAAACACAGTGGAGGCCGTGTCACAGTCTGGGGCTGGATTTATCTAATGGTGTTGAGAATCGTATCAAAACTAACAGAATTATGGACACAGAAAAGTAAAAACCAGACTTTGATTTATTATGTAGTACCACTTGTAAAGCGACTGATCAATGAGCCCAAACACACTGCCAACGCAGTAAAAGGATAGCTGAATAAAACACACTCACACACACTGAAGCTATGTGGGATCATCCTGACAGAGAATGGAACAAAAACCAGCAAACATCCAAAGAACTGTTTTTAGAAAATCTTGGAGAACCTTTCCTGAAGATTACTAATTTAAAAAAAGTACAGACTGTATTGAAGAATAGATGTGATCACATAAAATGTTGATTTTTCAAGCTTGTCAGAATTTTATAAACTCTGATTTTGCATTATATAAAAGTGAAGTCCTAGCCAAATATAAATAAGTGAGAGGTGGCTCAGGACTTCTGCACAGTACTGTACATGCTGTCAATAGACATGGAATTGTCATTTCCTTTTCCAATAAATAGGTATTGCACACTTTACTAAGCATACCTGTTCAACTGCTTGTTAATGCAAATATCTAATCAGCCAATCACATGGCACCTCAAGTGCCATGTGATTGCAAAATGCATGTGTAATGCATTTTGGATGTTACACTTTGTGATTTTGCCCACATTTGTTTTGCTTATCAAAATATTTAAAGTTAAAAAACACTGATGCCAGTTTCCATTGCATGAGCTTGAAAATCATCTGCAAGTTGTTTCTGACACAGTGTGAGGTCCTGTTTCATGTGGATTTCCTGTGAGCCCCTCAGCCTTGTGCTTGGTCCCCAATACCCCAGTTTAACACAGAAACCATAAGAAAATGTTGCAAAACTTACAAAACTAACATTACAAATTAAATTCTTCTGTGTGTGTTTTGGTTTTCGGACTGTAACAAATTACAAGAACTTGTCTGCTGAATGAAACTGTTGTGTGATTTTTTTAATTCACCAAACACAGACACACTTGAAACTGGTCTGACTTCTGTTCTAAAATAAGTAGCCACCCAACAATCAGTCCAGTCACGCAGCACCACAATTAACAAAGCTGCCACTGTGTTTGCTCCTACAGAAAAGTCTGTTTTGCTACCATTTCCACTGCACACCAAGAAATGACAGTGTGAATGGCTTTCAAAACACGCTAACATGGGAATGAATAAAATATAGGTTATTGCAGTGGTGTGCGTATCAGGTCATTTGATGTCCTTTGTGAATGCAGGAATAAATAATTCAATAATTCATTTTAGTGAGTGTATAGGCTGTATACTTTTAACAAGAGCAAACAGAGTTTAGTTCTACGCACAGAACACTTATTGAAACACTGAAATAGCTTTTGAATTTTAATGTTCCCACTTTGACGCTAATTGACAGATTAATTAGCTGCGTCGGGCGCCACGTTAAGCTTAGGTTGTGCTTCAGGGCGGGAGTCACGCGCAGGCAGCGGAGTAATAAAGTGTTGAGTTCAGCTGTGAAGCGAGGTGAGCTTACCTTTATCCGGCGGACGCTGGCCTCCAGACGAAGCTGTTTCACTGCCTTCTGAGCGATGACTAAACTGCTGTTGGCGGCGCTGTTGTTCGACATGATTGAATCCAAGTAACAGAGTGAGGGGGCAAGTAGACAACTGCACTTATGTTCCAAGTTTGGGCTGTAGGAAAGTACATCTTCCGGTCCAAGCTTTCAAAATAAAAATCCTGTTCGTGTTCATGACTGAAAAAGTATTTGGACCATTCAGTTAAATATATATATATATATATATATATAATACTCCATTATAACACAGTAATAAACGTTCGTTTTCTGACAGTGTTACAAAGTTGCTGCTTCCATGACTAAATAAAACAAGAGTGAAATAAAATAAAAATAAAATGACTTTAGGCACATGTAGGAAGTAAAGACAACACATCACAGAAATTGTAATACAAATTGTATAGAAAAGGTTTAATCTTTAAAAACACACTGTCATGGTCCTGGTTTGGTGACCCAGCCTTTGTGTTTAGCTCTTTAGTTCTGTGTCTTCGGCAGGACATGATCATAGTGCCACCAAGCTTCCCTGGGACACTGACAGAATGTGCTGGAGATTTCCCATTCGATGAGTCTTCTTCCTTACCCAACCAGTAGGTGTGATAGAGGGGATGTGGAGCTTACTCTGTGACATCCTCCAGATATCTGCACAGCTGAAGCACCTGTTCACTTTCAGAGACTCCATGGGTTGACTTCCTTTCTGCTTATTTACGGTCAAGAAATGGTGCTTTATGGGGTTTCATGTAGCCCCTGAGGTAAGGTGAATAGAAACCCACTTGTGTTGCAGTCTTTCCTGCTGGCAGATGGCCTTTCCTAGTCATCCACCAGCCTTTCCCAGTTGTCACCTGTCCTTTTGAAGAGGTCACTGGTTTCCAAGAGTGCTCAGATTCTTTTACAGGCGTGATGTTTCTCCTGCTCTAAGCCTGTGCACTTGCTCTGCCAACAAGGGTCAGCTGCACGGTTGTCAGCTGCACGGTCATCAGCCGGAGGCTACGGGCATTGGATGTTTTGCTCCCTATCTCAGTACATCTCCCAGTGGCGAGGCAGGGACACAGTTTGACAACCATAAAATTGTATTTCTGCACTCACAAGGGGATTTCCAGTGAAAGTCACATGCAACAGGTCTTATGTAGCGATGAATCCAAATTTGAAAATTTTGGTGCAAATCATCCCAGTATTTGTACGGGGGCCATCAGTAGTGAGGTTCAGCAGTGATTGTCTTCTGTGCAAAACACAATGGAGGCTATGTCATAGTTTGGGGCTGAAATTTCAGCTAGTGGTGTTGGGGATCTTATCAAAATAGATGGAATTATGGTCACAGAAAACTGGCATCAGATTATGAGATAACATCCTTTACCATTTGGAAAGCATGTGATTAGCAACAGCCTAATTTTTAAACATGACAGTAATTTCAAACACATTCCCAGAGTAAACACAAAGTGCAGCACTCAGTCATGGACTGGCTCCTTCAGAACCTCGATATAAACATTACTGAAGCAGTGTACGATCATCTTCATAGAGAACAAAACAAAAGCTTGACAACATTCAAAGAAAGGGCTTTGGAATATCTTTCAATGAGCCTGCAAAACTCCCAGAAAGTTGAGTCTGCTTATACACATGTAGTGTTTTTAGTGGGAGAAACATTTGGTCACTCATCTGAGTGACTTCTTCAGGTCATATTGACATTAGACTGCTTAAACAGAGAGCATGCATTGAAAAATAACTGAAAATCAGCATTTACTGACTTTCAAGCTCATTAGAATTGTGCAAACTCTGTTTTTGCCTTATATACTGTATTTCTATATAAACTGACACATTATCAATACATCACTGGACCTGAGGCTCGGGTTCTAGAATGGGTGTAGCAATGTTTTGAATGCATCCATCAGAGTTTGAGTGTATTTGTGTGGGAATATTAGATAAAAGTGCTTGTGTATAGATAAAAATACTGAATGAATGCGTGTGTCAAAGTACTAAAAGAGATTTGCAGTAGAACCCACTTTGAGTGCTAAAACTGAGTAGAAAGGTGCTGTGTAAGTACCAGTCCGTTTACCTCTATCCTATTATCCTAGCAAAATATGACTCAATACTTTTGTACAGTACTGTACAACAAAGCACAAATTATTCTAATTAATTAATCTAACTAAACTAATTTCAAACGAAGGCTCTTAAATACTTGGTGCCTGATTTTTCACTAATTTGCCTCTTCCTAATCCTCACCATTATTATTTAACACGTGCTTCCTCTTCATACTATATAGATTTGTAGCTGGACTAAGTGCCTTTGAATGGAACTCTTTTTTCTTTTAGGTGCTCACGAAGTTTGAGGAAACAGCGTTAGCCGGGTTAAATGCACCATTGCGTGGTTTGCCAACTGACAGACGAAGAAAGCCAGCACGATGACGTTGGTCAGCAGGTGGCGGTATAGCACCTCCAAACCCTTTGGATAAGTGCCAATAAAACCAAAGGAAGAAGAAGTTGAAATTGGTTCCGGAGGAGCTCCGGGGTCACACAGGAGGGGAGTGGAAGCTAAACCCTAAAATCCTTCAAAATGCTGTTACGAGTGAGTACTGGAAACCTTTCCAGTAAGCTTGACTGTCCGCAGACGACACATCACAAACTGGTTATATGTGTACTCGGCGGTTTGTGTTGTTATTCTGTCGTGTTGATGATGTTAGCTAACAGCTTGTGTGACATAAGTCTGATGGCACCACCTTTAACTTCCTAAGACTCGAACTCTTCCACGACATGCATTTTTAATTTCTCTTTGATATTTAGGCATATTGGGACTCGATGAATGTAAAAACAAAGAATTACCAGATTTTTATTTTTTTTACTTATTTTTAAGAAAAACGAGAGCCACATATGAGGATATTTGTTTAAAATTTCAAGAACAGTAGCAGTATAATGTCCTCGTACGTGGATATCAGGCCCTTGTAGAGCAAAATTGAGTATTTTGGTCTAAATAACCCAAAATGTGATGTCCACATATGTGGGCGCCAGGTCCTAGGAGGTTAAAGCTGCCAGCTCTGTACGCTAACAGCACTGAGGGTCACAGAGAGCCCGATCAGCAAACACAACGAGCTTAAAAGCAGTTTGTGGGGCTTTCTCCGACGCGGTGCTTCTTTAGTTTTTTTTAGTTTGTGTTATTGTTGTTATTATTATTTGATTGTACAAAGAGTGTTCAAAATAGTCGTATGAAAAAAAGTTTCAACTCATGATCAGAATTCTATGAGCAAATTCTCTCTGGATTATTTTTTAGTCCGAGGACAGCTGTGAACTTATGAACATGTTTGCTCCTTAAGCAATTTTAGTCTGTCACTTAAAAACAAACTAGTGCTGAAAACATCCCTTAGAGATGTTGGCCTTTATTCACATGATGCATATAGTCACACATAGTGTCATGCACTTGCTGCAGATTTGACAGCTGCACATTCATGATATGAATCTCTGTTACGTCCCAAAGTGCTCTGTTGGACTGAGATCTTGTGACTCATTTGAGTGCAGTGAATCCATTGTCGTGTTCAAGAAACCAGTCTGAGATCATGCTGGAAGCAGCGATTAAGATGGGCAGATCATAAAAGGCTGTACATGGTTATTTCTGCCCTATAAATGATGCTTAGTTAGTATTAAAGGGGCCAAAATGTTCACTGAAAGTATCGTCCACACCATTATACCAGTTTGACCAGTTTATACAAAGCAGGGTGGAGATATGCTTTTATGTTGTTTACACCATATTCAGACTCTCCCATCTAAATGTCTCTGCAGAAATGAAGACCCAACAAACTGGGCAAAGTTTTTTCCCTGTCTCAGCTAGGACTGAGCCATGCTTGACACTAGGTGGCAACAGCAGTCTGTAAATGAGAGATGAGATGAGATAGCCTTTATTTGTCAGTTGCAGGTCTTTGGCCACAACCGAGATGACAGACCTTGCCGACCGTACATACAATACACAAACATCACATTGGGGAGACAGGTCAGGCTAGGTAGCGAGGAAAAAAACATCGAAATGTGTAACACAAAAGGATAATACAGGAATGCACAGATATCAACACACCATAGCACAATAAACACAGACAAGCAACATGGGAAAGAGTTCCAGTGTGTACATCTGATCTGGGACCGCTGCAATCTTTCGACTGCGCCTCCAGCTGACCCGATGTCCACATCAGAGGGGAGGTAAGCGTTGGAGGTGGCGTTGGATCCGGGGTAGGGAGGGTGATGCGTCAGTGAGTGCTTATCAGTATCAGTATATGTATGTGTGTGCGTGTCCATAGTTCAGCTGAGACAGTGTCCTTCGCCCTGCCAGGCTAAGTAAACAGTCTTCCAGCCAACCCAGGTGGCCTTGTAGGGAATGGGAAGGAACAGACTCAACACAGTCGTTATCAAATGTCTGGGAACTGCAGTTACTGAACTTTTGGGAGTGTTGTTGATCCTATATCTTGGGAGGCTTTTTTTTGTCTGTCTTTCAGCAGGTGTTGCGTATCGGTTCTTTGACACTGACACACAGCAGATCCATCCACCACAGTTCCATATGCCGGACTCCACTCATACCCATAGTCGTGGAGCAGACAGTGAGTGTGATCATTTGAACGGCTGAAGCAGGACTTTCTGTGTTTAGTAGAAGTGTACAGTGGGGCAAAAAAGTATTTAGTCAGCCACCGATTGTGCAAGTTCCCCCACTTAAAATGATGACAGAGGTCAGTAATTTGCACCAGAGGTACACTTCAACTGTGAGAGACAGAATGTGAAAAAAATCCATGAATTCACATGGTAGGATTTGTAAAGAATTTATTCGTAAATCAGGGTGGAAAATAAGTATTTGGTCACCTCAAACAAGGAAAATCTCTGGCTCTCACAGACCTGTAACGTCTTCTGTAAGAAGCTTTTCTGTCCCCCACTCGTTACCTGTATGAATGGCACCTGTTTGAACTCATCATCTGTATAAAAGACACCTGTCCACAGCCTCAAACAGTCAGACTCCAAACTCCGCCATGGCCAAGACCAAAGAGCTTTCGAAGGACACCAGGAAAAGTATTGTAGACCTGCACCAGACTGGGAAGAGTGAATCTACAATAGGCAAGCAGCTTGGTGTGAAAAAATCAACTGTGGGAGCAATC